AAAAAAAAAAAAAAAAAATCAAATGTGCATTCATGCTGTTGTTTTTCCTCTTTTTATTTTTATTTATTTATTATTTATTTTTATAAAAGAAGCTAGGCGGCAAGTTGGATGATTAGCGGTCCTCGATCTGCTGTGTTGGAATATCTCCAAAGATTTAGCGGTGGATATGAGCGCTTTGAGGTTAGTGATCAACGTGCCGGAACCATGACTTTTGCTCCTTTCTCTTTTGTTCTAATCTCTTCCTTTGTTTTGTTTTATTAGCAAGGTTACTGACCATGCTTGATTTGTCATTTTGTGAGATTTGAGAGGCAAAATTGAAAACTAAGGAAGTTTGGTTAGAGGTGATTTCATTAAGGTTAGTGATTTTTATACTTGAAAATTAATTACTGTTTTCATGCATGCTCTTGGTAATAATTTCGGGCAAGAAAGTAAATTTAATTCACGGTTTTCATCAAAAAAAGTAAATTTCTTTATTGGCTATACATGTATCTATAACCAAAATTAGGAAAATGCTAAGGTCCCGTTACGAGATGGTAACGTCAGCGTTTTCTACAATTAGATAAGAAAAATAGGTTATGTTGTGTAGATATTTTATGGTAATAAACTTTGACGGAACTATTCCGTCAACGGGACTTTAGTTGTTCCCCCAAAATCATATATTAGATAGAACAAATTTAGTAATGTTGTAAAATGTCATATATTAGAAAACTGTTATACTTGTTACTCGTTAGGCCTCAAATAAGCCAAAAATAGGCCGATACGATTAATCAAAATAGTCGTGATTAGGGCCCAACGAGATTCACAAAAACTATCCTTGAATTTCGAACCAAGCTAAAAAGAAAACAAAATGGGAATATTTTCAATTTTTCTATTAAAAACTTATCCGAGTTCCCCCAAAAAATTATTTTTTTTTTTTTTATTTTTTAGAAATCATACCAAACAAATAAAATTTCTAAAATTCAATTAGTGCAATGATTAAATTGCTGATTATCGTTTTTACTAACATTTTTACCATAGATATATTAAGTACTATTTTCATAGGTTATGATATTAAGAAAGAAAAAATGTTAATCTCTACTTAATTATAGGCCCCTATATATATTATTTATATTGGTATCTATATATGAAGGTTATTTATAAAAGAATCTAGACGGCAAGTTGGGGTTCATTTTCGAGTTAAGTGGCCGTTATTAAAAGCAAATTGAAAAA